AAAAGAAAGAAAAGGGGAAGGGAACCGGGGGACAAGGATCACATGTGGCCCCTTAGGCACACCAATTAAGACCAAAAACCATTTTTAAAAGGAAAACTATCCACAAACTTAGTGAAAATTCAAAAATACCATTTTTGTTCCATAAATCCTGGGACGGTGGTTACAATCGAGACATACAATCCCGGCGTCAAGGCACTTCCTCATCGACATCTTCGAGTCCTCTCGGTGTAGGACGCATATCCTTTTATTCATTCAATTTTATATTATTTCTTTTAGTATTCTAGTTAGTTGTATGCTCTGAACATGTTCCTTAAATGCATATTCTTTATTCTTTTATATTTATAAATCTTATATATCCCTTGTTTTCAGTAAGTGCACTCAATAAATGGCTTTCGTCACCTTCGGGTGTCGGCCAGTATGTGCTTATCCTGGTATTCAGGGAATATCGGGATCGGGGCGTGTCAAAAACACTTTGAAAGTTGGCTGATTGGTGAATATATTGTGTGATGGTTAGATATTCAACCTATGCTTATATAGAGGATGATTGAAGGTTTGCGTTTCATGTGTGTAGGTTTGTATTTTATGCGTTTCATGTGTTTTGTATGTATTTGGTATGTGTTTTGTGTGTGTCATGTGTTTCACATGTTTGGTGTGTTATACATCTTTATCATGTGTTTTGTATGTGCTTCATATGTATTATGTGTGTCTTTTGTGTTTACACATCTCTATCATGATTTTCATATTCTTCCATAGTGTTTCATGAATTTCATGTATTGATTTAGTGATTTTTCAATATTTATCCGAATTTAAATATTTTTAAGTTAAAATGTTCATAAAATTAATTTAAGATAATCTACATATTTTTTTTAAAGTTAATTTAAAAAAAAAATAGCCTAAATTCATTCTTTAATAATTTGAGGTTAAAATTTTAGGATAAAAGGGTTGGAGCAGAAAATATGTTCTAGGTTAAAACCTAAATTTTCTGAGGTAAAAATTTTAGGTTTTACTCCAAGGGTTGGAGATGGTTCAAGTGCACAGGTCGTTGGTGGCCTGCACTTATTGTAACAGAAGAAAGTTAAGAAACCATCTGGTAATGATATATGATGAAATAACCATCACTCATTACTACCACATAAATTAATAACATTACGAGACGGTGCGTGCAGAGAAGGTGCGCAAAGACACAAAAAGTTTTCGTAGATGGCTAAGCTGATGTTATGAACCTAGAGTATATTATTAACAAATAAATACATGTGCTATAATATGAGTGAATTTATAACACTCGTAATCAAGTTCATAAAGTAGTAAAAAGTTAGAGCTCATTTGGAAGTGCCTTTAAAATGATTGAAAACACTTTTAGAGAAAATGTTTGGGGTTCCAAAAGCAACTAAAGTGCTTCCTGGAAGAAGCACTGGTTATGTGCTTCTTCCAGAAAGCACTTCAAGTACTTTTTCACGATTCACTTGCGTTTTTACCAAGAATTGATTTCAAAAACATTTACACCAAAACTTTTTCAATCAATTTAAAAGCACTTTCAAACGAGATATTAATGACATCCACATCTCTTTTGCAATTAAAGAAAGTGGGCTTTTGCAATGGATCAGTTTCATTTCATAGAAAAGTCACTTTGCCCAAGAACACATAACCCAACCCAAACCCTAAATTTACTTGCAGGCTAGCCCAACCTATAAAGGCCTAAATAGTGGCTTACAACTAGCTACACCGACGCGGGCTATGGTTGCGGCTGAGCTCACTAGATTCCGCACCAGTCAGTGCTCCAAAAGAAAAATTCGAACCAGAATTCAAGGTTGTATTGTTCGACCTTAATACCAGTTGAAGGGTTTTCTTTGCTTGCTCTTGAAGATCTTAGATTTCTTCATCCTCCATTTCCAGAATGTTCAAGAAGTAAGCTTTATATATATTGTCAATATATTGTACGTATAGGTGTTTATTTTTAAATATATGTTATTTGTTTGCTTAGTTTTTTTTTTTTTTTTTTATCATTGAGGCATATGATTTCTGGGTTTGGTTTAATTCGATGAAAAATTAAACAGCGTTTCAATTTTGTTTTCATTTGTGTTTTCTGATTATATACTTTTATGGGTTTTAATTTTGGATTTATGCCCTGAAGTTTATATGTTATTTTGTGTAATTGGAAGTATAAATTTGAATACTTGGAGCTAACGGACGGAAAATCAAGCGCAGTGGCGTTCTAGGATTCATACAGCCGACTCATAAGGCGTTGTTGTTGTTGTGGAAGTATAAATTGGAATTGTGCCATTGCTTCTCTGTGGTTTAAGCAACCGTTCTAAAGCTTGATCCTTCTCAGCAAAGTTGGTTTTGTGCTGTATGTGGGATGTTTTGATGTTAAAATGAAGCTTGAAAGGTCACTTCTTTTTGGTTTTTATGGAAGATGAGGTTAATTATTTGGGGAGGATGGTTAGGGTTCTCAAATATTTGTTTTTGTGTGGGAGCGGTTTGGAGTAGCAAATTTTTGTTTTGTGTTGCAATAGATGCGTAAGGGGAATATTTCGTAATATGATTGCATAATACGTGTGTAATGTTGTAGGTTTTCTACTGAAGAGGTGTCTGCACAAAATCAAGTTAAGGCATCTGTCCAGCGCAAAATTCGGCAGAGTATTGCAGATGAGGTAAGATGATTAGGTTCATAGGAATTTCACGGATGCTTTAAGATACGCTTTACATATGTCTGTAACACAAAGTTAACTTCAACTGCAGTACCCGGGACTCGAACAGGTGTTGGAAGATTTGATCCCAAAGAAATCTCCTCTTATTGTGGCTAAATGGTTTGTCGCTCTGTTGGTCCTGCTTCTGTGTTTTACTTATTGACTCAGCTATTTGTTTCATGCTGCCTTATCTCCATGTATCTAACATTGTCTTCCACATGCTCGACTTTTGCAGTCAGAACCATCTAAATCTGGTGGTGGTAAACAACGTGCCACTATTTTTCAACATTCGTGATGGACCGTATATGCCTACCCTAAGACTTCTTCATCAATGTAAAAGTTTCTTTACCGCCAAAATGCCTTATCTCAATAAGTCTGGTCTATGAACCAGTTATGCAATCCTTGATTTGCTTCTTCTTTTGAGTGGATTATTTTATTTTTCTCAAATAAAAAGCTACATAGTTGGTGAATTTTCCTTCCAAATAGTTGTAACTGAGAAAGCTCGGGGTTTCTTACGGGTTTTACAGATCCAGACATAATGAAAAAGTTGCAAGTAGATAGGGGCGCCATAAGGTTTGTTCTCTCTGGTGCAAACATAATGTGTCCAGGTCTAACTTCTCCCGGTGGTTCTTTGGATGATGAAGTGGGTGCAGAAACTCCCGTGGTAGGAGTTTTATGTCTCTTTTTTTCTTTGTATTAATGTAATGTCATACTCATGTTAGAACCTTTTTTTTTTGTTCAAATGTTAGGTTGAGTTGATTTAAATAATTGTCTTGTCACGAGACGGAAATGTTGAAGTTCAGTTTGTTTTGTATGTCTCTGATTTGTAAAACTGATTACGCTCAGGCAATAATGGCAGAAGGAAAACAACATGCTCTTGCTATTGGCTTCACAAAAATGTCAGCAAAAGAAATGTAAGTTATTTTCTTATTCGAAGGACATTATCGTTGCTTCTCCTAGAGTAATGCCTTGGGTACCCTTAGAATATTGAGGACAAGATATATAATACGAGAGCCTAACTTGCATTACCGACCTCAAATCTAGCTTAGTTATCTGTTGCTGATTGTCGTATTTACAAAGTTGAGTCTTCCCCTTGGTTTGCAGAAGAGATATCAACAAGGGAATCGGAGTTGACAACATGCATTATCTTAACGATGGTCTTTGGAAGGTACGTCAGTGTCTACTTTGTATTTATGGCCATTGCCAGTGTTTTAACTAGTGTTTCGTTGTTAAATCTTTCGCCTTGCTATGCAGATGGAACATCTAGATTGAAGATACTCAAGACTATCCGTGGTATCATCAACAAGAAATGAAGAACACATGTTAGTTTCATCGATGTGGTCTTGACTTTACTGTTTTTCGGAGTGTTAGGTCCGAGCTTTACAAGTCACGAGTATACCCTAACCGTATTTACATGTTTTGTATTTGTACGTGGAGTGATCATCTTTATCAAATTCATCGTAAGATGGTCATATCCATTTTGTGATACAATTTAGAGGTATTTTTCTTATATGATGTAAGAGGTGAATTCCCAACTCCCAAGCATATGTTTTGACATCTTTTCCAGTGAACTATATGTCTTTGCGAAGATAAATGAACGAAATTATGATTTCCTCTTAGACAGCTGCGTAATCTTTGAAATTTCATCGTGATGTTGGTCTTCAACGAGGAATTCCTAGTAAGCGCGAGTCATCAGCTCGTGTTGACTACGTTCCTGCCCTTTGTACACACCACCCCTCGTACCGATTGAATGGTCCGGAAAAGTGTTCGGATCGCGGCGACGATCGATTGCTTGAGAAGAATGCAAGTGAGGAAATGCTAAAACTAGCACATTTCGGTGCTCGCAGAATAGCAAAGGGGCAACAAACTTTTTAAAACTAAACGTTTTCCGTACTAGAAATACATCTTTTACTTGTTTTTCCTACTTCTCGAACTATCAGGAGATTTCTGGCTGATCTTGGCTTCAAATTTCCTGATTCGTAGAGCGGCTACATTGTGGCTCTGGCTACGTCTTTATCGTTTGCTGCATATTGACATGAACAAAGAAAAGATCAACAGCGAAGCGAAAAACGATCCAAGTTAGCAACACTGCAAAATCTCATTATGGCAATCGAAATGTGGCGGCAGAAGAAGGGCATACCTTACAGACAATAGGCCGGCTGTAAGAACCAATCCTCCGACGGCCCAAGAAACTCGTTCACTAAATGGCATGTCCCTCCACCTCTGCTGGAATTCAGCCTCAAGCTCTCAGCTTTCTGGAGCACCTCAGAAGGTGAAGCCTTCCATGAATCAGCAATCAAGTCAAGACTGGCTTTACCAACAACAACAACAACAACAAAGCCTTTTCCCACTAAGTGGGGTCGGCTCAAGACTGGCTTTACCGCAGTAGCAAAATGCTTCTTCGTTGCTCACGGATGCATCATCTTTAACAGCAAATCCTGCCGCATGGCAGAACTCTGTGCCATTAAGAATCCATTCCGAGGCCCTGCCGCAAACATAATCACTTACTCCACATGGTGCTAGAACCTGGAAGAAGGTAATTAATCAGAAAATGCAATTCCCTAATGCACCCAAAAGAGATCAGTTTAATCACCTATTTATTTGGTTATGTCAAATTATAAGTCGGTAAAAAAAATTCCTCGACTGGAAGTTAAAGGTCTCCCACATACCTGTGTTATTGCATCTGTCGAGTAGTAAGCCTCAGCACAAGCCTCAAAAACCCTGTCACAGAAAGAGGCACATATAGCTGGAGGTCCTGACTGCACGCCAATGCAGGGATCACAGATGGAACATTCCAGTAATTCCCACAAATGCAAGCACTCTGGGCCAGCTTCCCCTGATGAAGCCAACTTCCTAACGGATACCAGTGCAGGCTGTGTCTGGGCTACATCACAGCAAGTTTTTTGCGGAACACTCTGCAAAGGGTCAGATCTTTGGGTCCCTTACTCAGATGTTTTGGAGGTTTTCCCTCGGAAGACAATGGTGGGAAACGACCGCCTTGAGAAATGCATACACTGTCAGGTTTACCTACAACTAAAACAGATGTAGATAACGTTTAATGACCAACTAGCGTACATGCAAAAATCATTTGAAAACCATGTAAAAACTTCTTTACATAGGAATTGAATTTCTCCAAAATAATTTGTTAACTTAAGACTCTTGAAGATGATTGCCACTGCGAAACGGAAAAGCCTAAAGTATTGCCCCACAAGAAATGCAATTACGTTCTTGCTTGGGATTCTTGGGAAGAACCAGAATTTCTTCTGGTTGCCTTTAAGTTAAAGAGATAAACCATGCTTACATGCATAAATCAGATTACAAGAGCAACACCGATACGAGGCCAAATCCAGAAAGCAGATGCCATTCTGCTGATTTAAGGAAACAACAAGCAGATTGCGTCCAATTTCCACACCGCTATGAAAAATGAACAATGACCATGCACTCGTAAGATGTGATAAGGCAGTCGGGGCACGCCAAAGACACCTTATGTCAGCTTCAAAAAAAGAGCAAGCCCCTTCATGGCTTGTCAACCAGAGACATAATTAACATAGACCTCCACACAAGATTCTAAAAGACGCTAGCTGTTAGTTGAACGGCAAGCTGGGGCCTAGCACCTAGGTGGCTAGGCGGGCCTAGACGGGCGCCTAGATGAACAAGACGGATTTAAGTAAATCTATTATATTTCGTGTAAATAAGCGTCTGTTTATACTTAAAAAATATATAATTTCATTATAAACTACAAAATAGAATGACATATATATTAGGAAGTATTGGAACATAATGAAAACATGGGGAACAAGCATATAATGGGTATTCGTTTAAGTATTCAACAAGTATCTTACAATTTATTAAAAAAATAAAATACAAAATGAAAGTTATCTATTTTTTAACCAAATAAGTCACAACTTAGACAGGTGCCTAGGTGGTCTAGGTGGTCTAGGCGGACGCCTCAACAGGTCTAGACGCTCTTTCTTAATTTTCAAAGGCTTAAACATTAATCAAGGTAGTGACCAACCGCCTAGCACCTAGGTGGGGATTTTTGGAACAGTGCCTCCACGTCAAACTGATTCTAGCCTACCTCAACTTCCCTCAACCGAATATGTTACATCCGCAATGCGGAACTATAGCTCATACAAACCTTATGTTTTGGCACACTGGAGACAGAAGTCTAACCTAGTGTGAGAAAATGGAAATCTCACTGTTGCAATTCTCATGTCAGAGCAGATATCCAGTGATGTCTGCATACAGTAGACTGAAACTGTACCGATCAAGTGCAAAAAGATGGGACTTTCTGAATCCTATCTGGATTTTTTTTTTTTTTTTTTGAACATCTATCTGGATTTTGACTAATTCTACAATCCAAAAAATAAAATAAAAATACAAATCCATGATGTCATTGTTCTCCTAAAAAACTGATCGTTTTCGATGGCTGCAAAGTTGGGACACTACGAAATCGACTCCAAAACTGTTCGCTGATTAATTTCAACACAAAGGTCCCGAAAATCAAACAATTAGGATCTGAAAACAAACAAGAAAAATGATATTATATATATATATATATATATATATATATATATATATATCTGTGTGTGTGTATTTATGTACGTATTTACCAGTTAAAGAGGGGACGAGTGTATTGAGAAGGAGCAGCAGGATCAGAGACGCGCAACCCATTTTTCATCACTCGGTGGTTTCTTAGTTCTCAAAAATTTTAATTTTAATTGAAAAATGACAAATAAAGTTGTAAGTGAATAGTACAAAAAAAGATAAAAATATGGTTTTTCATAAAAAAAAAATAAATGGTACCAAAAGTGTTTCGTTAAAACTCACAAACAAAATCCGATCCGGTGAGAACGGTGGCTGTGGTGGGTACCCGGTGACCCAATGTACCACAGGTCTCAGGTCTGCGGTGATGGACCCAAACTTCTAACTGGGTCGGAAGGGAAACATGGACTCAGGTTGGAGGCCCATATATGTTGCCCTTTCGTTTCTATACTTATTTTTACATATTTCTATAAACATCCACATAAATTTCTAATATTTCTAATTTATTCCTGCTTAAAATAGAGAAATAAAAATTGGCACCATTCCAAACCCTTTCTGTTTTTTGGTCAAGGAGGAATTTTATAACAAAGTCCAAACGGACGCAGTAGAAAGATAACAGCTTCATAATTGAGGTAGGTACAAATGAGACGTCACTTGTACATTCATCGCATGAGTAAAGGTTCTCAATTATACCTAAAGCATACAAAAAAATTACAAGAGATATGGCTCGGCCCAAAAGCCGAAGTCCACCCGAAGAGGCCCAAAAGTGACCCCTCCGAAAAAATCTAATAACCCTAAAACGAGAATCACCCACCGCCTCAACCGCCTCACCATTCCAAACCCTTCTTGATTCTTATTCTCCTTCTTTCGCCTTCTCTTAATTCTTCTCCAAACACAGATTTGCCATTGGGCTCCACTGCATCTGGAATTGACAGTGCACTGTGCACTGCAACAGTGGCTCAGAAAAGGACGACGCCGTTTCCCAAATTCTCAGTCAAGCACCGCCTGAAATCCTTATGGCCCTAGAGCACCAAGAGGAGGTGGCGGACCCACATACCATGGGATGGCTCTCGTATGAGGGGTATACTTAGGGAATAAATTTAATTTAAATAATTGAATATGCAACGGAAAAATAATAAATAACATACAATATGTTATTCCAATATGCTAAAAATGTCTCTATAATCTTATCAAATAGTGCTAATAGCATTTTAACAACTACACAACACCAAAGTGCGTCGAAGTGAGGCACCTGATGAGCCTAAAAACAGAGGTGGATGGTTTAAGGGTTGCGATGGAAAGCAATATTGGAGCAAAAAAGGGGCATAAAAACCCAAATTTTGAGACGAAAGGTCAAGAAAACCAAAATACAAGGGGTCTAAGTAAAATACAGAGAAGCTAAGGAGACAAAGGAGAAGGAAAAGTAGTTGGAATTGGCCAGAGAAGGGGGTTGCCATCGACCCCCACCCAAAGTAGGTGTTGGTGGCATTGTCTTCATGATTCAGCGTGTCCGTGTTTGTCTTATCCATTTTGCTTTAATGTCTTTGTGTTTTTTAAAACTTCCATGTTATGTATCATTGAGGGCTTCAAAAAGAAAAATAAAGAACGGTTAGATCTTTCATGTTGCGTTCTAATTATCTTTGCAATGATTAAATTTTTTATAAAACTCCTACTTGAATGGTATGTACTATTGCAGTCGAACTTTTATTAGTATTTAATATAACAGGATAGTGTTATTTACACATCTGTTTTACCCACACGCATTTGTTAATTTTGAACCATCAAATTTCTTCAATTCATTCGATTAGACGGTTGGATATTGACCTCTCGTTGATTTCTGTTCTTTGATATTTTTCAATTCATCTTATCAGACATCCGAAAATTAAAAAAATGTGTGAATATCACACCCCTAATAAAAAATGGTGGATAGCACTACCCTAATAAGGTTAGTGGAGTGTCAACTTCATCTCTCGTATTTTTCCACTCTTCAAAGTGAAGATATATGAATCTCATCATATAGATAAGATTCTGTTATAAGCTTATCGTCATATCAATGCTAGGTTAGGTTAGCGGCAGCGGCATGGTCCCTTTTGGCCCATACGTCCGTACACAGCTCCGTTAACTTATCACGGATGGGCATTAGGATAAGTTCTACTAGATACCAGAATCCCAGATGGAAAATTTATCTCGTGTTCTCTGTACAAGTTATACTAACGAGAGCATCTTTCAACAATCCAGATGGATAAGCAATAACGGAGTTGTACCAACGGAAATTTCAATCGACGTTAGATTCATATCCATGTTTCTGGCATCAAGTTAGGGTCTCGGAAAATAGGGTCCCCTCTGGCAATGGCCGGATCGACATAGAGATTCGGATGATACCAATAACCTCCGACAGTCCGACTGCCCGAAAAATACATGCGAAGGTCTTTCGAGGACTATCCAAATGTATGACACAGACTCATTAATAGTATGATGAAATGCCTTCCAAAAATATCTTGACAACATTTGGCTAGACATGTCAACCATGCCTAGCCTGAGATCTCAACAGCACTCGACAAGTTTTTTTGGCTTTGTTAATACAACGCAATAACGATCGGTCCACTAAATGCTCGACAAATTTTTACGTGTTACGCGCACATTAGTTTCTTTTTGTGTGCATATTTTTTAAAATTTTATTTGTGTTTGTACCCATGTGTATGTCATCATGTAACATTGTATATTTAATCAATGATAGAAAAATTACATATGGTATATTTATGTTTTATGCCTAACTTTTGTATCATATATTTATATTTTTAGTTTGTACCCACTTTTAATTTGCAACATTTTTTAAAAAAATTTGTAGTATTTTCTTTTTAATTTTATTTTGTACCCATGTATTAATTTCTTTTAGTGCCTATATTTTTTAAGTACCAATTTTTTTAACACTATGAATACATTCTTTTGTCATTTATTATTTCTTATTTTTACATAGTTTTTATCCATTTATTCAATTAAAATGTTTGAATTTTTTTATTGTAACCGTTTCTAATAGTATTATAACGAAGAATTTAAAATTTATAGGATAATAAATTTCATAAAATATCAAACAATTAATATCAAAACTATAAAAAATATAAATATTAATTGTAATATAATGAGGTGTACAAAGTCAATAAACTTTAATTAAACTTTGAATACCATTAAAATTTTAGTCAAAGAATGTTAAGGATTAAAAACCGCATCCAAAATATCCCTTAATTGTATGACGAAATGCCTTCCAAAAATATCTTGACAACATATCTTGACAACATTTGGCTAGACGTATCAACCATGCCCACCCTGAGATCTCTCGACAGCACTCTGACAAGTTTCTTTGGCTTTGTTAATATAATTCAATAACGATCGGTCCACCAAATGCTCGACAAATTTTTGCGTAGCCGCGCACATTATTCATCTAAATAGAACCTGAATGTTTTAGGCTGAAATTCTTAATCCTGAATCCGCCAGCCATACGTCCACACTTACAACTACGACGAATAGCGCCCATGGATAAGATATCTTTCTACAAACGAGAAGTATTGACACAAGCACCAGATTATATAGATCCAGTACCACATCATAATACATTACACATGCACGAACTAATATGCAGTTTTATTATTCAAAATACAACAGCAGGAACTTGTAAGGGAAAATTAAACACTCTCTTTACAAATAACAGCAGAGATTATGCAGATTTAGCAACATGGAAACCCTAGCAACTCGGAACGAACACACCCAAACCCTAGCAACAGCGGAGATTCAACCACTATACTTATATAGTCGCACATGCACTAGATTGAAACTCAGAACAAACAACACCCAAAACCCTACGTGGAAACCCTAGACAGTTTCTTTTTTCCTTCCAGCCATGGCTAAACCGTCCACAGAAAACATGTACATCTCATCGCATGCCGTGAGGAGGGCTCACATCTCAAATCTCACGGATGATTTCGATTGGACAAGAACTCATATGTCACACGTCGTAAGGAGAACGGGCGCTCCTAGCTCCAGGGACCTCGCTCGCCTTCTCGTATGCATCCGATGCTGACCTTCTTCGAAACCGCCCGAATGGCTCCCTGCCACCTAAAAACACAACACTCTCAACATTTGCCTCATAACACTGCTCGACTCGTTAAAGTCCACTTACTACTCTTTAAGAATATTAAAGACTGCTTATCTCGTTGAGAATTTTTTATTGTGTCGGGAACACACCACACCATCTATTTTTATATAAGTGATAGAAATTTTTTTTTTTTTAAGTTATTAACTTTTTAATACATATATCCTACTATTTATATAATGAGACGCGGTACCAACACGTGTGCGAAAAATCTCTCCAACTCATTATAGTCCACACTTACTGCTTTTAAGAAGATTAGGTCAGATTTGATACTATTCTCAACAAGGGCATAAATGTCAATTAACTAACAAACATAAACATCACAATATGAACAGCTGCATGTACCTACACAAAAATCCATCCAAATTCTAGAACATTGAAATTTGACTCCACAGCGTGTTAAATTACTACTACACCCCTTGTCTCCCTGCACATCCGTGATGAGTGGAAGCCCCACCAATACCATTTGTGGAAACTAGGTCCTCCGTGCAGGGAGCCAGTGGCATATCTGACATTTCAAATGCTTACCAGAAAACGGGGACACCGGCGGCGTAGATCCGGCTGGCGAAGCCGGAGGCGTGAACCCAGCTGGCGGAGTAAACCCAGCTGGCGAAACCGGAGCTGATCCGCCGTTACCGCTCCCATAACCTGGGGGCTTAATTATCATGATACTCCTCGTAACTTTCACCTCCTCCGGGGAATTCTCACCGTACAATCGTACGTTCCCACCATCTGACGATCCTAATGCAACCAAACCAAAACAAACAATTAAACTTCCGGCAAGATTCCCACCCTTAATTAATATCAGCCGCATGATCTCAAAACTTTCATGTTGCAATTTCATTTTCAACCGTTTGATCTATTTGCAAATGATCTGAGATAATCGATTAAAAGCCTTTATTCCTGGAAAATTAATGCAAATTTGGAAAAAAGGTTTAGCAGTTAGTTGCGTTCATCGCGTATGCTAATACACGGCGCCGGAAAAGTACTAAAACGACGACGCACCAGTTGCGGAGCTGGACCGGAAACTGAAGGTTTTGTGCTTCCGCAGTTTCCCGAGACCGCTGTCGGGCTGCGGCCCGGCGACGGTGTCGTCCCAAAGCTGGTCAAGTAGGCGAAGTCCCATGTTACTGCAGGATCAGCGTACGGTAGCAGAACTGGCGCACTTTAACGACTTTGGTAGTGGGATTGGACTCTACGGAGGGAATGAGCCACGAGATGGGGTGGTTATTTATCGACGGCGGAGGCGTTAAAGGTCGAACAAGTTTTCAGATCGAGACATATCTGGAACGTTCGTCGGATCCAGAGGGTGTGCTGACGTGGCGTGTAGAGCGAGGAGCACGTAGTTGGCGATAAGATCGAGGTAACAAAGGCGGACCCCAGGCTAATGGGATATTTTATTTTATTTTATGGTTAAAGACTAGTGGTAATACTTTAAGAGCGCGATTGCTCTCAGATTTGTAACATAAAGCGGTATGTTATATGCTATTATATAAGTTGATGAAATTTTTTTTTTTGAAGTATCTCTCTACATGCTTAATGGCATTGCGTTTGTGTCAGTGTTCGCATACACTAAAAAATCTCTCCAGTAAGTGAGAGAGTGAGATACTATAATGGCCTCACTTTATCTGCATTTAGGTAAATTGGTTAAGAGCATTCATTCAAAACCTTGAAGTACATCTGGCTTGGTTAGTAAGATGACGTTATTGGAAAAACAAATTGCGCAATTCATGTGAGTAAATTAAAACATATGACATTCCTGAAGGTTTTGGGGAACCGCTACCTGGACTTCCGGGTTGCACAATCCCATCCAATTGGGCTTGCTTTGTTTGTTTTGCCATTTTGGGTCCCTGGCTTCTAGGCCTGCAACTTGGATTTGGGTATGGTTTGCCGGCTTGGGCCGGGCTTTTCTATGAATTTCAAGTTTGATCCAATCTTCCTACCAAAGACTTGAATATGTCTGATCCTTCAAACATGTTTACGTTCTCAATCATAACCACGAGCACTTTCAGTTATTTTTGTCAAACACGGCCAAAAATCGCTCATGTTTTTCTCGAAAGAGCTTTCAACCCCGAATAGGCCCTAAACCAAGCTGATGATATGCTGATTCTCGTGATGACATTTCAAAAGTTGCAATCCGATGAATAATATCGTTGAAATCAAAATCAACATCCAACCAGAACATTACATCGGAAAACCAAAAGTTCCACTAGTGTTCATGATCACCGTAGCATAGCAATCGAAAGACATATCCTACCACACAATCCTTCGGTCTACATTCCCCGGCAGCCCGTCTAGAACAAGGACAACTGATACTGACTACCTTAATGTAAGTACACTCAAGTGATTCTTCAGAGTAGTTTGACACCTGCTTCAACCACACTATCAATGACAGCTTTAACCTTACCGTGATATTTCTGTTCTTTCTTCAAGTGGACGGATACAGCGGGAATGTTCTTGAGCAGCAGGCGCTCCCCTAATATCTTCCCAATCTTTGCAGCAGCAGCAACATCCCGACGTATCTCCATGCTTTCTCTCAAGGCCTTTTCTTGGGAGCTTGCAGAAGATGCCACAGTGGCAGTTGGTGTGTGGATCACCTGGGCGCTTACATATTTGTTTGTGAAGTGCATCTTCAGGACGTAAGGCTTTAGATACTTTGTAATACTAGGTGGCCTGACCGGAGGGATACCCATTTCTGTTTGCAAATAAGTCAGAACTTCAATCATAAAAGCTTAACTAAAAATTTTGAATATCTGTGGACCACGATGCGGTGCTCAAAAAATGAAACATGAAGAAAAACAGCGGAATTATTTATAGACTAGTACTACAAGAAGAAAAATGTAGCATCAATGCAGTGTTACCATCATCTATAGAATGGGAGTCCTTAATTTCCACCGGTCTACGATTCAGTCAATCAAACCAAAACTCCGAACAAACAAAATATATTTAGGAAAGGTCTCCAATTCAAACTTTCAAACCTGAATATACTCTCTATCCCTAAGCCTCTACAGTAACTATAGAGAGTATGTGAACCCCATGACAGATCAAAGGAAGAGACATAAAAGCTCTAAGGGAGCGATTGAAAGTGATTGCCTAATGTTTGGATCTTTTGTTTTTTCATTCGCAACTTCTATCAAACAATTGGGGTGCAGCTTCTTAACCTCCAAACTCACACCAACTGCGCTTAAAATAATCGATTTCACGACATGGGTTTTTCCTAATTCAGCACATAGTAAACAAAGAACGAACCTTTACATTATAGACATCTCTGTTTGGTAACCAGGAATTTAAGCTAAAACGCAAAATGAAACGGGAATTGAAATTTAACCAAGAAAAATAAATTCTCGTAGTTATTTATTAAAACTAACAAAGAGCCAATTTCTCCCATGAAAATTGGCACCAATGACAGTTGGGTTTAATCGACTGAAAGTTGGAAATATACAGGATTTCGATTTCGATTTTTCCTGAACTTTCTGGGGAACCAAACAGAACTTTAAAATCCGAATATAGGACCAAGAGAGAAGTAAGTCTAAGAGTTGCTTACCGAATTGGATGTCTTGCAAAGAAAGCTTGAAGCGATGGATTCAGAACTCACTGAAGTGCTCAAAAGTTCAGAGCTTTCGAAATGGTTTAATCTGCCAAAACGAAACAGTAGAGGTTTCAGTGTGTTTTTTATTTCGTTTGTTTTCTATTTTTCTGAAGGGAAGAAAATAAGGGAATGATCATTGGGCCTTTTTAGCCTGATATTAGAGTTTGGGCCTTTTTAAGGGCTTGTCGCCTGTTTGAGACCCTTTCTTTTGAAACTTGCCACGGTTATCGTCATCCCCATCACCACCACTGCTACTACCATAACCAACGTCACGCGCCATTTAAAATGTTAGAGCATCTCTAAATGATATGTCAAATATAGTATGTCAAAATTTTATTTGATGAGTGATGTGTCAAATTGAATACAAATGCTAAATCTTCTTCTTCTCCAATGGATATGTCAAATATTTATTTTATTAGGCCTAGAGTTACATTAACTATTAAAAAATAATCAAAATTAGTTTTAGTTTCTATTCTATTGATTGTTAATGGGACCCATGTATTAAAAAATTAAATAAAATATTTGACTCCTTCTTTGTTTGCTGTCAAAAAAGGCAGCTAGAAAGCAATGAGTCAAATGACTCACATGCCACATCATATATGGCATATCCATTAGGAGAACACCTGAATGTCTTTTAATCATATTTGACATATTTAACATCTCCTTTGAAGATGGTCTTAAAACTTCAAAACTAGCGGAAACACATGCACGTTAAATGGATCGCAAGAGAATTCGTAGAAGTTGTCCCGTAATGTTCCACATCTAAGAAAATCAAGCAAAAACTCACATACCAAGGTGGCTTTGATTGGGATACGAACACCGTTACGATGTCTCATTCTACCCGCAAAGTGCAAAAGAACGAAAGAGACAACGAGAGACGCTATTCTTATACGAAATCTTCTTGTAGTGCAGTTGGAATAACATCCAAATAACATAGGTTTACAAGAGCTTTATACACACTAATCTTCAATTTTATTATTATTCAAATGAGGGTTCAACATACTTTTTTGGCTAAACATTTAGGGCGCGTTTACTAATCCGTAATCAAATTGAGAGGAATTGAATTGAGGAGGAATAGAAATGAGGGGGAATCAGAATCAGATTCCTTTTGAAGTTGTTTACTAAAACTATTTGGAATCAGAGTAGGAATGACATTGATTTATATAATTGTTTACCAATTCACATGGATCGGAATGAAAACTATTGTGATTACTAAAATACCCCTAGTTTAATTAATCTATTTTATATGCTAATTATTTTTAGTAAATCTTTTATTCTTTCTTTTTATTTTTTTTTAGAAGAGAGAACCATTATTATTTTTTATTTTTAGTAAAACTTTTATTGTTTTATTTTTGGATTTTTTAGTGGAATTCTCGTGCTTATCTACTAACCTATAACCCACTGTCCTCATCCAAATTGGCATTATCTAGAACCCACGGCTCATAGCCTCATCTAGGCGGAGAGATCACCGTTCCTACCACTTCTTCTTCGGCGACATGCGGGCGTCGGAGCCTGCGCCTCAGCGTCGGACTCCGCAACCTTGAGCTCCAATTCGGGTCTTTCTCACCTAAACCCGCTCCTCTCCCTCGGCCTCTCTGGTACCACTCTCTTCTCCATCACTTTCGTTTCCTTTTGTTGCTGAATTTTCTGTTATTATCAATGGTGGCAACTAAGTTCAGATTTTATGAAGATTTGATTTTTGCTTTGGGTATGCTTGCCATTTTTGGGTTGATTTTGTTGTGCCGAATCCTATGGAGGAGGAAGTTGAGGATTTTGAGGTGGTGGAGCGAGAAGAGGCGGCAGAGGAGCAAAGAGCTGTTGGAGAGGATGGTGGAGGACAACAAGAAGATGGAAAGGAGTACTGAAGGTGCATGACATTTTGGGAAGGAAATTTTTATTCCAAATGGAACCTTATCCCGGAATCCAAATACTACCTTCTTCTAGGTAATCCAATTTCGACAATATCAGGAGATAAATTCCTGATTTTATGTGGGGCCCACATAACTGTTCATTCCGCTTAAGTTGGTAAACAGAGGAATAATCAGGAATGGGGAATGATTCCCATTCCGCCATATCCTTTCTCCCTATGTAAACACGCCATTAGTCATCCATCCTCGGGCTCTATATGCTTCAACTAAGATATTACTAATTTTTTGTCTTTTCTTTACTCACTTTATAAAAATCTCTTTGTAAATGGGCAATGCATTGAAAATTCAAGAAGTGAATCATTGTAGCAAAATGGTGCATTTTTGTTTGAGGGTGAGTAGCATCTTATTTATCATCGTTGAAAAGGTATAAATTTTAAAATTTATGTTTATCTAATAAATAAATTTTAAATTTTAAACTCTTACAACGATACTAAGATGACGAGCAAATTAAAATGCGATGTGGGTGATGGGCAGAATATATGATAGAGACATATTGGGGTCAGAACTAAAAAATTCCACCATAACTAAGGGGAAAAGATATTATCTTCGGATCTCTTCCATCAATGTCATCGGATCAAGTGATTTGAGCTTTTGAAATTTAATCAAATGACAAAAAATTATTTTAACTTTTAAGAAATTAAAACAGATAGACCGTTGGATGAAATTTTAAAAATTCAAATCATTTAATCCGATAACTTTGATGGAAGAGATAGGATCTCTTTCCGACTAAAAGGGGGTGAAGTCTCATTGAGGAGGGGAAAACTGAAAAGATAGGGGAATCATATCAACCTAGGGACTCACCCTGCTCTCTCCTAAACAACACACACAAGACATTAGTATTACGATTCGGTAGTATTTCTCTTTATTTGTAAATGATATGTTTTAGGTTCGAATTTCATGAATGATGAATTTTATACCAAATTAAGTTATTCATTGTATAACTTAACCGATCTCTCATATTTTTTTAATGTAAAGTATATCGATGTATTAAAACACACACACACACAAAAACACCCTCCCCTCAGTCCTCGCTTTAATCAAACACTTTTGCTTCCAACACGCAAACCCTCAACAGCCAGTGTCATGTTGTCATTCACTCACTGTTCTCCTTCTGTTGCCATGCTGTGTTGAGTTTCCATCTGTACAATTTTCACTCGGCTTTCACTCTTCATCTAATCAATGTGATCGTGATCATTTCTTGGTCAAAAATGTCATCAACTAAACGTTCCAATTCGGCAACTTGTAGTTATAGTAGAAAACAATTCTTAGAGATGAGAAATGCAGGCAATGTTCGCATCTTTTTGGTAGATAGAACTGGATAATGCGACTTGAGAGTATTTATAATGGGAATCCCTACTTACAAACGGATGGAATCATCTTTAAGAACTTATTTAAGTACTTAAAAGAGTCTCTGTGTCTATGAAATAATATTGCCTACAATAAGATAATTCTTATAGTACAAACCTTAAATTTAAGTTTATATATATAATAGGAAAACTAACGAAAAGGATTTGAAAACTTTGAGTTTTAATGATAAGGACAAAATAAAGGGTAAAGTGAATAGTAACAGGATTGACTTTTTAGTGTAAAAATATAGTTTTTCGTTAAAGTGAACAGTACCGGGTATTTTTTGTTAAAGTTCCCTATAATAATTTCCTCCATTGACCTCCAATGGTAAAAAGGAAAAAAAAAACCCAAAATAAATATGGACCTTTGATTTCTTCACCGGCTAAACTTTTTTTTGCAGCACATTGAGAGATTTTTCAATATAATCGGAATATAGAGCAATACACCACATGTTACTGTACAATTAATGAGATATGTGTGTTAAAAAATTGGATATGATCTCACCCAACTTAGTGTGCCTTTTTCATCATGTTGGGCATGGTGTGCCCTTTTCCATTAAAAATTGGATAGGATCTCACCCAACTTACTCCACACATGTGAAGATTAGTTTGAAATATCCGACGAGTTTTTATACATTTAGATACTTTGACCAGCTCTATTTCGTTAAAACCCCTTTGTTATATTTAAAGGCTATATAATTATGGGAACTGGAAAAGGATCGTCGGCTTCTTTTTTTGAAGATATTAGAGATTCTGTGATCGTGATTGTTCATTGAATCATTGTACATTATACGGTTATTTTTCGTTAAATATTATTCATATTTAATTTTAAATTTTAAATTTTAAAATAAATTATAATCGAACGATATACGATAAACGATCATGATCACGAGATTCTTAAGATCATTTTCAATGGGACTGTCTCCCAGTGGTATACCCAATATTTTAACTTGGTTTTTGCCAATTGGCGGCAGGCAGTACGTACCCCCACAAAGTGACGTTTACTGTTAGCTGAAAATATCTCAAGGTGACTTTAACATACGTAATACAGAGCACCACGTGACTTCAACATAGAGCACTACTTAATCAAACAGGTGAGAATAAGATTTAGTGAGCCAATATCAACAGCAGGGTCAAATATATTATAATGTCATGTCATCAACTTTTCATATAATTTGTACAGAAAACCGACCTTGTTATTTTAGAACAAATCCACCCGTTTTAAAATGGGTAAAAATAAAGTAAGGGCAAAGGGGATGGCGGCAATCCAACTCAATTGCCTGAACTTTTGGATCATCGTTGGAGCTGCTCTTAATGGGAAGAGGGGAGGGTCCACCGTCTCTCAGTAAATATATACATGAAAGACTTTGAATTCTTTTTGGAAATTGTTATTAGCATTTCAAAAATCTCATTTTACACTTCTCACAAATTATTTTTCTTTCAAATTATAGAAAGTCTAGAGTATCAAATAAGATTTTTGGAGTGTTAATAACAATTCCTTTATTTTTTTTCTTTTTAACAGTTAAACAATTTAATTGGATGCAACTGATGAATTATTCGGATAAATAAAGTGTTATCTTTCAAATCTTTGTTTTAAATTTTTTTTTATAGTGTAACTTAAAAGTGGTAATATTTTTTGTTAATAAATTAAAAAAAAACAATTGAAATGCCTATTTGAAATTCAAAATTTAATCAATCGCTTTTGCTCGTTGCTTGTGAAATCAAATGAGGTCTTTAAAGAATAGACACTGAATAGACACTCCCAAGACTCAATGCTTTTAATTACTCTATTTCTGTTTGAGTCTCTCTCTCTCCTTGAAAAATTT